ACTCCCTGCAAACGGTCAATGATAAAAACCGAACCCCTAAACCCTTTACGTCTATAAGGTCTCGAAAAAGATCCCCCGGCTCAGACCCCTCAGCCTTGGCGGCTACGCCTCCTTCCCTGCGGTGGGCGCGCGCAAGAAGGCCCGCATCTAGCGTTCTTAGAGTTTAGGTTTCGGGCTGCCCCCAGGGGGCACGTCGTGTTCTTGGAGTGTTTCGTTTTCAGGGGTTGAGGGGTAATTAAGGGGTTGGAGGGATTGAAGCTTGGGGTTGGTGTTTTGGGGCTCAGGACAAGGGCCTTGAAGGCTTTCTGAGTCAAACCATTGCGATTGCTCAAGGAACAACGAGAATGAGGCTGGCTGTTTAGGAGCATCAGGTATGGGGTTAGGGCAGTGTGCGCCTCGGGTCCGTAACCTCAGGCTGCTGGTTAGGACAATCCGCGTGATCTTACTACTGTGGGTCTTCAGGGATTTGTTCACGAGTCATGGGCTGCATTGCAATATCCAGTGGCATAGTCACATGGTCGTCATGTTTCATAGTGACATCCACGGCCATGCCATAGCAATCCCACAACCAGCGGCAGAGCTTGCAACATTAGTTAGTACATGTGCGTCAGAGGCAGTTGGCCCTCCCCAAGCAATCGCAGCCTGAGTTCCGAAAAGTCATCATGGCAGAAATCGTTGCAACAGCATGAAAGCAAATATCGCCGTCTTCATCCTCGTCACCAGCAGCATCACCCCGGCTTTGGCGGTTGAAGCATATCTGCAAATGATGTTGACAATCCTGGGAACCCTGATTCTTGAACCTTAACCGGAATCGATGCAACTCCAATGACCATCTGCGACTCAAATCCCCGCCCTGCTCTCGCTTGTAAAGGCCCGATGTGAAAGCCTCAGAAATCACACACGTCCCTATGTAAGATCTCTGCCAGTTTCAATGCTTCCCACGAGCGCCCTTTTCCCGGAGGCCCCCGACCTCTTCCAGCCCTTCCGCGGGATCCATTTCGCAGGGACTGAGCTGCTTGGATGCAGGAGTAGTCAGCAGCTCAGCAATAGTTAGCATCATGAGCGTTATGATGCTGTGTGCATGCCAAGACGTGATACAGTACACCATGAACATGATGATCATGCTTGGGATCGTCATCATAACAGTCATCATCACCATCATCATCATCATCATCATCGGCATGATGTCGGTAATTAATTAAGGGCACTGAGGAGATGATGACGCTGTTGCTAGCGGAGACTTTCTTGCCTGATGAGGTTTTGGTCGTTTTTGGTATCTTGTGTGGTGCACTATCCCTCCCCCCCCTCCCGAATGTCGACATCGTCGACCTCCGCGCGCGCGCTGCTTTGCCATGAGAATCCACAGTCTGCCAGCACAAAAGCCCTTAGTCCGAATCCCAGAATCGTCGCTCCAGAAAAGGACTGCAGATGAATGGCGCTCTTACATGGAGGGCGCGATTCAATCAGGAGACTCTACCGCAGTTCGGATATATCGGGTTTTGGGATCGGCAGCTCAGTATGACACGGCATTGAACGGCCGCACTCATAGGTGTTCTGGGTTCTTCCTAAGGAACTGCGTGTAAGTTCCCACAAGAGCAACATCACACAATTCAGGCCCAACATCACACAACTCACACAAGAGCAATGTAGATTTCGACACCTGGATACGAACGGCTCTACATCGGATTTTGCCTCAGCCTCATGGGCAAGAACGATGTGGGAGGTTCCGAAAATGAGGGGTACCTTCTTTTGGGGTCCTCATAATAAGGATCCTACTACTCAGGGTACTATATTAGGGTCCCCTATTCTCGGAAACCCCCATGTGTTTTCTAGGGTTCGTGTGATTGCCAAAAGATGTTCGCATGCGATGGTTGATCCAGACACCGTCAGCTTCATGCAATTGTAAGGCTCCAAAACCCTTTAGTTAGGGAGTATACTATAAGTTGTGGAGAGATTCTTAATATGTTTCCCATTGGTATCATTAGGCTTCTTGCGAGTAATTATTACTATTCGTGTCATGCTTTATGACCATGCTTCAAAGACGATTAAGTTTGAAGTCTTCCTGAGCCAGGGCCTTTGAAGCCCTAATACCCTAAAACCCTAATCCCTATACCCTAAACCCTCTCGATTTCATGAAATAGTAGTTCAAATCTTGATGATCTTCGTGGGCGGAGCTCGCTTTTTTCGTGGGCAAGGCTCGGTTTTTTGCGGGCAAGGCTCGGTTTCGAGCCGTATTTTTCCGACTGCCCAAATAAATAGTGGTTCCTTTTAGGGTACCGTTCAGGGTTTCGGTAAGTGTTTCGTTTAGGCTTCCTTTTAGGGTTCGTTTGGGGTTTAGGATTTCGTCAGGGTCTCAGGGAAAATTGTAAGCTTTGTATTTTTCCAAATGTTTTGGGATTGTGTGTGTGTGTGGGTTGCTGGGCATTTTTCCATGTTCCAAACAGCAAGCTCGACTATATATAGATACGCTCGATCCGGAGCTGCTGAGCTCTAAACCCTAAACCCAATACCCTCAACCCTAAGCCCTATACCCTTAACCCTATACCCTAAACCCTATACCCTAAACCTTAAACCCTATACGCTAAACCCTAAACCCTATACCCTAAACCGTATACCCTAAACCCTAAAGCCTATACCCTGAACCTTAAACCCTAAACCGTAAACCCTAAACCCTATACCCTAAACCCTAAAGCCTATACCCTAAACCTTAAACCCTATACCCTGAACCTTAAACCCTATACCCTATTCCCTATACCCTGTACCCTAAACCCTACACCCTAAACCCGAAACCCTATACCCTAAACCCTAAACCCTAAACCCTAAACCCTATACCCTGTACCCTATACCCTAAACCCGAAACCCTATACCCTAAACCCTAAACCCTAAACCCTAAACCCTAAACCCTAAACCCTTTGCCCTGTACCCTATACCCTAAACCCGAAACCCTATACCCTGTACCCTATACCCCTACAGACCCGGTACGGCTTTGGAGCCCCTGGTTCTCCCGAAGGCGAGCGGTCCGCCAGAGAGATCATCGCCGCGATGACAGCTGCCTGAGTTGCCAGGGAGGGGTTTAGGGTTTAGGGTTTAGGGTTTAGGGTTTAGGGTTTAGGGTTTCACGGTTTCGGATGTAGGGTTCAGGCTCTAGCGTAGAGGGTTGAGGGAGGTTTGAGGATTTGTCAGTTTGAGGGTGTTTTGTTCTCTGTTTTACGGTTGAGGGTTTGGGGTGCGGAGTTTGGGGCTCCGGTTTTATATATGATGTTCAGGTGAGGTTCCGGCGACGTGTGTCATGAATGGGCTCCAGAGCATAGTGGACGGCGAGTAAGAGGCACCACAATCTCGACGGCACACGCTGTAATGTAGGGGCCCTAATTCATAATTAGAACATCTTTTTGGGGGTTTGTTCGCTTCAGACGTTTGTTCGAGTAACCCCCACACCCTATTCTAATTTTAAAGGCCCCTAGATTACGTCCTAAAATGCCGGGGCCCATCTTTCGAGCGATTTTGTCATTCAGGCGCCTGGGAGCTTGGATTCGTTCACACCGTCTGTCGAAGTAATGTAGGGCCCTAAATGATTTCCTATACTATTTTGGGGACTCCTTATTCTAATCATGGTCTGTGTCTACACTATGCACGGACAGCCAGTGAAATTCAATATCCCAGGCCCCGGTGAGGCCCGCAACAGGTGCAGCTTAAGCAGCTCGCTGATGTGGGAGTGCGCGCAGGCTTGTATAGCCTTCTGCGCCAAGACCCTGCACAAGTCGCCACTGCGACGAAAAAGCCTCGTTGGCAGGTCAGGGGTGGCTCAGCTCCGTGTGTCGTGTCCTCTGTGTGGAGCGCTTTCTTGCTTGCTGCAGCTATTCAGAGTGGTTCGCGGGCACCGCGGGGTTGCACGGCTTTTGATAGAGCAGAGAGGAGAAGCGGGAATCGTGTGATGTCTCAGCCTTACAGTGCCAGCAGGAACTCCAAACCCTAAACCCTAAACCCTAATAGATGCTTGACAAAACAGGTCTTAGCAATGATTCAAGTCAGGCTGATGGGGCGTGAAGCACTCAAGACTCTGTCACAGAGTCTCCGGAATCAAAGGTTTGTTCGTGTATGTACATATGTACATATGCATATATATATATACATATATATATATATATGCACATATATATATATATATATGCACATATATATATATATATGTGCATATGTATACACATTTATACATATCTGTTATAGATAGTAATGTTAAGAATAAGAAGAAACACATACAACCACGCCGTCAAGTGCAGGCCATCTTTGTGGGAAAGCCGGAGGTCTAGGTGGATCATCGAAGCAACTGCTTGGAGGATCATGGGACTTAGCAAGTAAGGTTATAAGTCCCTTAATTGGGGTTATAAGTATAGTTACCCTAATTATAGCCCTACTTACTAAGTCCCATGATCCTTTACGTACAAGACCAGAGCACATCATGGAACCAAAATCAGAGCCCAGAGCTCCATGCCGTGTACATCCCAAGCCTGAAGGAATCCAGCAGCCCTAAGTTGGTTTTGGGCTTCGGGTTTCTTTAGGGAAGAAGGGGTCTAGGGGTTTAGGGTTTATTTTCTGACATTTGTTGTGGATCTGTTGTTGACACGCAGTCCTGAGTGATCCACGAGCGGTCCTACAGGCCTTACTGACACCCCCAAACCCTAAACCCTAAACCCTACCTCACAAAGTTCTTCTGCCTTGGTTTTATTCACACGCACGACTAGTAATGCCATCAGCGGGAGCTGCATTTCAGGCTCCAGGCAGTGCTCTGCGAATCTCAGGGCAGCTGGACATGATCCGACGGAGAGCAGTTGGCCCCGAATCCTCTCGACATCCCATCATTATTATCTTATAGCATCCTACATGACATAGTACATCATGCATTATGCTACCTTACATCCTGGCGGTTCTGTAGTAGATTATACTATAATTAGCCCCTGCAAAGTCTAGGACATTTTCAGGTGGGTAGTTACCGTCATAGGAGCCTTATGGAAGGTCTATATACCTTATAGAAGCCTTATAGAAGCCCTATATACCCTAAACTCCCCACCTGTAGTTTCCTTACACAAAAGGATCAGGCGGATAGACAAACTCTCTCTCAGGTCTTCGGGGCA